GTTTTGTTGGGTTACAAAGTGGTTCGGTAAAGGCTCAAGTGGCATGCAATGACTATGCCTCTAACTTAAGTTATTATGACTCCTAGGCTCTAAGTAAGTTTATTGCGGTCAGAAGGGTTTTGCTCACTAACGCTATTATAGGGGGGGTGCTCCGTGAAGGGGTTGCCATGCCAGTTTCCCTAGGGACTCCTAAGCCTTGGCACACCAAAGCAAGGCACGACCCCAACAAATGCTTGTCATAGGTGGAGGCAATGCATTCCAAAGTTCGAGACCCGAGATGCAAGGTCGATGATCGGTGGGACCTGTCATTGGTGGAAGCCTTGTGCATGGCTGAGGGAGGCAACACATTCATAGGCACAACTAGTGGGTTGATTGATGCCCCATGTATGGCTGTAGGAGGCAGCTCATACATGGGCATGTTGGGCACAACCAGTGGGTTGGTTGAAGCCCCACGTATGGTTGAGTGAGGTAGCTTGTGCATAGGCACGTTGGGCACAAACAAGCAAGTAAGGCTAGCCAGTGGGCTCGTTATGAGGCATTGCTAACTTAGAAGATTAAGTCATGGGCCGGACATGGCTTGACATGAAGGCAAGGCTAATCAGGTGTTGTGGGCTCGCAAGAAATGCAGGTGCACAACATGTGATATGGTTCTGAACAATTGAGGTATGTGCATTGCAGGTGGTGGCTATTCTGGACAATTATTGGCATGTACATGGCATGCATGGCAGTTCTATGCAGTTGCTGGCATGTGCACATCACGAGGGAGATTGTTGGCATGTGCACACAACATGCACAACAGTTATAAGTAGTTGCTGGCTAGGTCAACCAATAGTTATAACTGCCCCTACCATGATCATCACATTGTGGGAGTGGCAGAGAGACTTAGACATGATCAGTAGGCTGTGGGTAGCTTTGTCGGCGAATCTGATTGTTTATTTACATTGCCTAGGCGGTTTGGCTTTTAACCCACAACATTGTATGCTATTTATTGGGGTTTGCAGTACAACCAAGAGATTTTGGACACGTTTTGTAAGCAGACTCATAGCTGGTTTCCTTTAGGTTTGCTGAAAAAAAAAAAAAGGTTTAACCATTTAGCCTGTAATGCTTGTGTGTCTGCTATGAGCTTGTGTGCTTTGCCTATATTCTATTAATTGTGTGCTTTTGTGAGCGATTGTGTGAATTGGCTGAGACTGAATGTGGAATCTCAGTACCGTCACGAGGCAAAAAATTCGAGCAAAATCTAACCCCATGACACCTTGGGTATAGCTTCTTATTTTCACAACACTATCCTGTTAGCCTAGGAGAAGCAAATGACTCACCGACCAAAAAAAAATACAGAGAGAGAATTACTGTAACGCCCCAATTCTTCTCTTCTTTTCGGAGACGTTAATTGATATAAAAAATACTCAAATAAAAATAATAGAGCGCCAATTGTACCAATAAAATTTCATTTATCAAAATCATCTCTCAATACAAATAACTCTGTCACCATAAATAAATCTCCCAATACGAATAAAACATCAATTATATCGACATCTCATCGTCTTTAATACTCTGATTATCTCGTTCCGATCTTTTCTCTAAAATCAGCCTGAAAATATTAAATAAAATGGAAAAATATACAATATGACGAGAAAAAATATATTCAAGGAAATTGAATAACAAATAATCGAGTATCATAAAGTATCTCAATTAATAGATACAAATTTCAAATTTGTATATCACACGTTATGCAGAATTTTACACAGATTTGACACCTCACCAATCATCTCACCTCAACCCGATCTCACGAATCTCTTAGTTGGCGATGCATCTGTTATTGACTGCCACGATTCCGTCTCAATATCCACAGAACACGATTAATGAAATCAAAATAATCAACGAAATTCAATCAAAATTCTAAAATAATGATAGCACAAGTTGGAATACAAATCAGAGGATAATCAAAGAAATAATTTTTGCAAAGATATTTAAGGAGAGCATATTGCATACCACCCCGTATCTTAGAATCATTATTTGAATTCGATTACTCAAATTTCCGTTTCATTCTTCTTCTTCCTCTCGGTTTGAACTAAAAACACCCACCAAGATTTGTTTTTTCTCTCCCTTTTTCCTTTTTTGCAGCTTAACACACACAAACACATGTATATTTTTCTTCCCTCTCTGTTATTCTCCTTCACTCACAGTTTCAACAAACCAGACCACACACACACACACACTAGTTTGTGTTTTAAACACATACTTTACTACACCTTAAAGTACACACACACACATTTTCTACACTATTAATTACACACACCCACATTTTCTACCATTTATTCAATGCTATCTTCTTCTTTTTTTTTTCAAGTCTTCACGCGGGTGAAGACAAAAGTAATATAAAAGTTAAACTATTTATACATTGCTCCCCTTTATTTCACTTACTATATATATCAACCACAAAACTTAAATATTCTTTATACTTTCAAATCAAAACTCATAATATTTTATACTTAAACTACTTCTAAAAATTTGAGACCTCACAATCTACCCTCCTTAAAAGAATTTCGTCCTCGAAATTTCTTAGTTCACCAAGAATCCCAAAATTTATTGGGTTGCAAAGTGCAACACAAGAAAGAAAAAAAATATAAAGTGTTTATTGTTCAAAAGAAAGGGTTGTTATTGAATTTTATTTTCAATAAAGGCGTAATTACACTAAATTTCTCTCAGTTCACTAAACCGAAAGTCTCTGCTATATACCACACCAATTCCACTATCTTTTCATCTTTTCCAAGCAGTCAGAACTTGCACCAGCAAGCTTTCTTTTTCTTCTTTTTCCTCTTTTTCCTAGTTGTTTGATCTCACAACGAAAATACAGTGAACTCACTTCCACAAATCCCATATAAGATTTAAAGCCTAGGCTTTAATACCATTTGTAATGCCCCGATTCTTCTCTTCTTTTCAGAGACGTTAATTGATATAAAAACACTCATAAAAATAACATAGCGCTAATTGTCCCAATAAAATTTCATTTATCAAAATCATCTTTCAATACAAATAAATCTGTCACCATAAATAAATCTTTCAATACGAATAAAACATTAATTATGTCGACATCTCCTTGTCTTTAATACTCTGATTATATCGTTTTGATATTTTCTCTAAAATTAACATGAAAATATTAAATAAAGCGGGGAAGTATACAATATGGCGAGAAAAAATATGCTCAGGAAAATTGAATAACAAATAATCGAGTATCACAAAATATCTCAATCAACAGATACAAATTTCAAATTTGTATATCACACGTTATGCAGAATCTTAATACAGATTTGATACCTCACCAATCATCCCACCTCAACCCCGATCTCACGGATCTCTTGGCTGGCAATGTACCGGCTATTGACTGCTACGATCCCGTCTCAATATCCACAGAACACGATCAATGAAATCAAAATAATCAACGATATTCAATCAAAGTTCTAAAATAACGAGCGCAAGTTGAAATACAAATTAGAGGATAATTAAAGAAATACTCTTTGCAAAGAGATTTAAGGAGAGCATATTACATACCACCTCGTACCTTAAAATCATTATTTGAATTCTACTACTCTGATTTCTGTTTCATTTTTCTTATTCCTCTCAGTTTGAACAAAAAACACCCACCAAGATTTATTTTCTCTCTCCCTCTTTTCCTTCTTTGCTCTCAGCTTAACACACACAAACACATATATATTTTTCTTCCCTGTGTTGTTCTCCCTCACTCACGGTTTCAACAGACCAGAACACACATACACACACACACACACACACACTAATTTGTGTTTTAAACACACACACTTTACTACACCTTAAAGTATACACACATTTTCTACACTATTAATTACACACTCCCACTTTCTCTACCATTTATTCAATGCTATCTTTTTTTTTTCTCAAAGTCCGCACCCTTTTTTTCAAAGTCTTCGCTTGGGTGAAGATGAAGATGAAAATAACATAAAAATTAAAATATTTATACTTTGCTCTTCGCATCAAAACTCACAATATTTTATATTTAAATTACTTCTAAAAATTTGGGATGTCGCAATTACACTAAGACTTTTTAAAATTTGTTACTAATTACTTGCATTTCTTAACATTTAAAATATCACACAATACGTGTAACACTTAGACCCTACCGTTAATGTCTATTATTATATCTGTTAATAAATTATATCAAGACCCTCTGAAGTTTGTAAACGTATAATACATAGACCCTTCAAGTTTAAAATATTATGTTTAGACCAAGAATATTCCAATTAAAGATAAAATATCAAATATTTTAAATTTTACAACCAAAATTCATGTTCTATTGTATTACTTGTTAGAATAAAATCAAAAAAAAAATTTAATTTTTTCTTAAAAAAAAGTACTATCTATTGGCATAAAACTAAAAAATCAAATAAAAGTTTCAGTCATTCATAATAGAACATGAATTTTACAACTAAAATTCATATTTAATTATGTCATTTATTGAAATAAAATCAAAAATCTAAATAATTTTTTTCTTAAAAAATCATAATTAATATACAATTATACTATTTATTAGAATAAAACTAAAAAATAAAACACAGGATTAAACTGTAATGGACACAATATCTTCTAACTTTATTTAGAGTAATTTGATAATTTAATTTTACTGTTTAAACGATCAAATTAAATTTCAATAGATAATATAATTATATACTAATTATAATTTTTAAGAAAAAATTAATTTTTTATTTTTATTTTATTTCAATAAATGTCACAATAAAACAAGAATTTTACTAGTAAAATTTAAAATATTTAATATTTTATCTTTAAATGAGATATTCTTTTGTCTAAGTATAACATTTTAAACTCGAAGAGTCTAAATATTATACGTATACAAATTTTAGGGGTTGTAGGTGTAATTTACTAACAAATATTTAACTGTAACGATCTAAATGTTACGCGCCAACAAACTTTAAAAAGTCCATGTATAATATTTCAAATATTAAGGATCTAAATGATTAAGTGACAAATTTCAATAAGTCTGCATGTAATTCTCAAAAAGAAAAAAAAACATATTAAACCGACTCATTTATTCGAAACAAACAGTAGCTGAGAAATCCACCACATGCTACATTCGGCCAGAAACTTCAAGACCATATTTATTCGAAGACAATGCGAATAGTTCTTCAAACACGTAATTATGAATAGGTCATGAAGTTTAACTGTACCTTATTAGAATAACATGAAGTTTTATTTTCTTAATACATAGGAAATTTGGCTTTTGTCTTCTCAAATACTTGCTCTGCAATAATTGCCCCATCACCATCAGCTCTTTTGATCTCCAAGTGAGCCTTCTGATGAATCCCAGTGCCCCTTAATGCATCTGCAATAAAATCATCGAAGCCAATTGCAATAGCAGCTTCGGCCTTGGCTCCATAAACCAACCTCTGCACCAAAAGAACAAATACGGATAAAACCTCAGAAAATATAAGCAACAAACAAAATGCTAGGTAACTAAAATATGGAAAAGCCCAAAGAATGAACCTTAATTCTTGAAAGAAATATGGCACCAAAGCACATTGGACAAGGCTCACAAGATGCATAGATCTCGCAGTCCGACAGCTCGAGTTGATTGAGCTTCTTACATGCCTGAAAGATGTGTTCATAATGAGTAAGAGGAACAAATGGTAAACAGTGACAGGGCTCTACATTAAAAAATCCATAACATTTCAGGGCTCTACATTAACTTTTGAAGTTCTCAAGTCTCATCACAACCATAAGCACATGACTGCATGATGTTTCAGCTTAGAGCCGAATCTTCTTTGCATTCCCACCGCCATAAAGAAATTATTAATTTCACTAGGACTTTCTTATTCTAATAACTGAACTACAACACATTTGTGATACTTCACTGACAGAACTTTATCACCAGGCCAATTCTAAATTTCTTGTGGTCAATTGAATCATTTAGCTAGATCAAATAGGCGAGTGTTACGGAATCAAGCATGTGAAATTTTCCCATTGTACACAAATAAATCACGTGTTCACATGAGTCTGACCTCTCTTATTGCTGTAACTTCAGCATGCGCAGTAGGGTCTGTATTTTTCAACACCATATTGTGACAGCTCACAACGACCTCATCATTACAGACAACAACTGCACCAAATGGACCACCGTCCCCATATTCTACCCCTTTATAAGCCTCTTCAACAGCTTTCGTTAAGAATTTGTGGTCTCTATCCTGTACAACTGGTAGCCAATCACCAAAGAACACCATGACAATGAATAATTTTTGTTTTCCTAAGCAAAACAGTTGGCCTCTTTCCTGGGTACCATATAAATAATTGATCAAATATGCTTCCGATTCTTGATTCACAAAAATGATAATAGTCCACTGATGCCTTTTTGAGTTAAAATTCTAAATTCAAAAATCGGTTAGCAGTAAGTGAATGATAATGGGGGACACGAAGGAGATAAATTTGACTCCCTCATTTTTCCTATTGAAGATACCAAGGATATCTGCTTTACCAGCAGATACCATTTTCTTGTTGGGGTGAGGGGAGGATAGGAAGTGGAAAGAGAGGAAAGAATGGAGAAAAGAAAGAAGAACTAATACAAAAAGGTATAATTCAACATCCCACCCAATAACAAAACTGTGCATCCGTCTATACATTTATGTATAAAATGCCTATTATAATTTTTCCAATAGTGCTACATATCATCAAAACTAAATGAAACTACATATAAGTCTGTATTCTAATTATTTTCTAATCCTATAATAACGATAATAAAGAAGACTAAAATTTGAAATGAGAGACAACACAGGGAATACCTTCTTCGTGACCGGCAAATGCAGAAGCCACAGAAATTGTTCCATCTTTGGCTTCGACAACAAATAACACAGAAAAGAATGCATGTAACTAGAACTGATATGACAAAATGATGCTTAAAAGATGCCCAATAAATATGAGCTGCACATGTTCAACTAACATACGAAAAATAATATGCCAAGAACATGAAGTCAAATAGATCAAGTGAGTATCAGATCACCTGACGTCTATACTAATAGCATTGCGACTCATATTGCCCCAGAAAAGCATATAGTAGCCAGATAAACCACTATGAAAAAGGAGAAAATGTACATCATTGTTCATGGAAGAGCATAATCCAGAATCATAGGAATGAATGGTTTTATTAAGGTTCATGTTAAATTACCATATGCTCTAAATGCTTTTAAATTGTTAAAGAGGGTGTAAATTTAGCATTTACACTTCAACACACTCTCTAACGTGCTAGATATTGTGCTTTGGTAAGTGAAAATCTTTAAATAAAGAGGGTGGTGGCGAGATTCGAACACAGAACTCTTGCTCTACTCTACCATGTTAAATAATCGTCTGCTCTAAAATTTTTATACTTCAACAATTCACACCCAAGATGCACAATGGTCCACACCCGAACCATAAGTCACATACCCAACATAGATTTTGCTTCCAGCAAAAGGAAGACAGACCCAATTTAGAATTACTACAGAAGATCCGGAAAAATGAAGAATCAAAGCCATGTAATTGGGATACTCCAAAATAACTATGACACACATTTGTGCAGACCAACCCATCCAAGAACTCCACAAGAAAATAATAATCATTTCGAATTCAACACAAAACAATAAATATAGATGACAAGACAGACGGAATTCACATACACCAGGCACAATCAATCATGTAACATAAACTACAAAGCAATTCCCAAAATTTTCGAGCAAACACCGACAAGGGTCTTACCATTAGCATCTCCCATGATGAGATTCAGATGAAAGAAACGAAAGCGAATGGAATTTGAGAAATGTCTACCCACGTATGTATAAGATGAGATTGCCACATACAAAGATTTATAAGCACGGCCGTGAGAAGGAAAGAGAGAAAGGGAGAGAACAAGTCGTTCAGAGGGAAGAGAAAAAGGTAGGAAAAGGAAGGATGAGAAAACAAAATCGGCGGACTTGGCTTCAATACCGAAATGGTAAAAATGGTACAATACGGAAATATACTAAATAAAAGGCCGTATTGGATATCCTAACTTTTAAACTAATGTTATCAGAAGCGGATCGGATCGGCCGATTAAATTGTGAATCGGAATCTCAGCCGGTCCGGTTCTTGAATTAAACCGCTAAGGGAGCTAAATCGAAATAAAACCATCAAATCGGCCGATTCTCCTGCCTTTTTCATAAAAACCCCCAAATCCAATCATCTCCATCCTTTTCTCTACTCAGGCGTTGGTGGATCAGTTCTGATCGAGCAATTCCTTCGTCTTCTCCACAGATCAAGCTTCACTCCATCGTCTTCTCCACTCAAGTCTGATCGAGCAACTCCTTCTCCACTCAACTCCTTCTCCACTCAATCTCTCTTTGCTCAAGCTTCACATATCTCCACTCGATCTCTCTTTGCTCAAGCCCACTCGATGCCTCTTTGCTCAAGCTTCACGGGTCACAGCCTATTGTTCAAGCCTCAAGCTTCACCGGTCACAGTCTATTGCTCAAGCTTCACAGGCCCTGTATCATAATAGGTTGTTCAACGGCTGTTGCTGTTACTTGGTTAAATTAACTGATGTTTTTTTTTCAGTATTCTTATCAACTGATGTTAAAAACAAAATTTTCTTAATAGTATTTTTTATTTTTAATACAGGTATTTTTTGTATACTTAATTAATTTATGATAAATTATATGTATTAGGTAAATATTTCATATTTTTTAGTTAAATTATTATATTTTATATTTTTTTTTTTTTATTATTTGATCGGTCTAACCAATTGACCCAATGATTGAATCATTAAACTATTGATCCGGTCTCTGCCGATGTCGATTCGATGTCCAATCCGGTTCTATGCTTTAATCCTTGTGGATACTCCTGACCTGGAGAAACTTGTGTACGCAGATTGATTGTTTGTCACTGACGTACTATACCGAAATAACTTGCACACATCCTCTTCCCTCCTTGTCATCTTTCTCCTTTGAAAGATTTAAGTTTTTTTTTTTATTTTTAAATATTAAAATTTTATATTATATCTTTTGTGTATTAAAAGTGTTAGAATGCGACTCTTCTAATAACTTTTGTTATTTTTTCATCAAAAATCAACTCATTGATACTGACAGAAAGATTAACAGAAAACTAACGGAAGAGTCATATTATAACACTTTTGATACATTGAAGGTATAATATAAAAAATATAATATTTGAGGGTACAAAGTAAATAACTTAAAATCTCTTAAGATATAAAATATAATTCATCATATTATAAATATATTAACAATCATTTGAAAACAAATATAAATTTTTTATATAACTTAATGTCTCGATAGGTTTGTTGCCTAAAACTTTTGACTTTTAATTCTTAAAAAAAATCGAAGGTATCAATATAAACAAATTTGTCATATTTTTAGAAGTTGTCAATGTTAGGACAATATTTTTGCAAACTCCCGTCATCTAATGGTTTTAATTTTTTTTAAACAATGGTTGGCCGATATAAGAAAAAAAATATGGAGGGCCCGGCAGATGAGAGGAAAGAGGAGAAGAACAGAGGAGCGGGGGGTTGGGTTTTGTTGTTCAGTGACTGAGTTTTGTTTTGTTTTACTTTTTTATTTGGAGAATGATTTTTTTTAAGATAACTTTTATTTTCCGTGATGCAAATATTTCAATGAATTAGAAAGAAGATAACGAAAGATCACGTTGAAATAAATTTATCAATAGATCGAATTTTAATTTGAATCTAATTAGTCGAATACAAATTTATATTTTCTTATCGACGATTCAAACCTAAACTTGAATTTAAATTTGATATTACATATTTCACGGACTCGAATTTAGATATACTTATATGTGATCCAAATATAATTTGATTTGAAATATTTATATATTTCTATATAAATATTAAAAAAATAATTGACTATTTAAAAAAACTTAGTTGAAATTTAAGTATAATTTATTAAAATTTAGTTAATTAAGTAATTCGAATCAAATCAAATTTTTGAATCGGATTTGAATATTAATCACGAAAATAAAATCTATTGGTTTATTGGATCGAATTTTTAAAAATCGGATTCGGATCGATGAAAGACCAAGTCAACTTCCATCATTTGATAGGCCTACATTGAAACAATACTAAAATTCTAACGAAAAATTTAGACCAAAAAAAAAAAACTAGTTAAGAGCTTCAAAAAACCAAAGATTGTAGCTTTTTTACTTAAATACCATAGCATTAACTTTATTTGTCAAATTATCAGTTTTTTCTTTCATAAAAGCATGTTTTCAAAATACCATTTTTAATGAAAACGCTTTGAAATTTTGTTTTAAAATAATTTCAACAAATTAAATTAAATAATTCAAAAAATAATTTTAAAATTATTATAATTGGGTAATTTTTTTTCTTTTTAAACAATAAAAGGAGAATGAACTGAAAACAAAAAAAAATCTTCCCATAAAATTATTGATTATGACAGTTTTTTTTTTTGACAGACACTTAACACAACCTCTTAAAAGAGGAAGCGTCAAGTGGGACATTTAAACTGATCTCACACGCTCAAAATTATCCGATATGAGATAGTCCAATCCCCAACACCCCGACATCGTTACCATAACCGCAGGGCCTCTCCCCAGAGAGTGGGACATTGCTAGCTATATTATTTTCGTGGGACAGTGTTATAATCGACGTGGACCCAACAAAAAAACTGTCCTTTAACATGTACCACCCAATCCTATTCCACATCGCTTTCAGTAACATTACATTATCCTTGTTTGCAAGTGAACCGATTTGATTAACGAAGTCCATTTAGTTAGTATTTCTTACTGAGTTGTAATATTACAAGACGATTATAATGTATTATTACTGATACATTAAATATTTTTGTACGTTAACCGTCCTCCTTTGTCGATTACCGTTGGATTGTTCACCGGACGGAGGTCAAGTGGAAAGATCGAGTGGTAGACGACATCGACGAGGACGTATACATGACCACATAGAACGATTGTTTATAGTTGTTCATGTGTGGGGGCAATTCTAACCCAATCCATGTGCTGAGGGCCCCAAGCAGCATTCCGACAATTAAAGGGGTACGGAAGACCACCCTTTAATTTGGACAAACCAATTCCGTGAGTTAAAAAATAAATAAATAAAAAATTCGTACCCCTGAATTTTATAAGTTTATTAGAGATCATTTGTGTGCGTAAAGGTACGGTGTAACATAAATCAACCAATTAATTTGAAAAAATGAGGAGTGAAGATCCCTAAGTAGTGACAGAACCAAAAATATGATTTAGAGCGGACATACTTTAAGTATAATAAATAAAAATAGTGTGATATATTTATATTTTTTGAATTAAATTTGATACTTAAAAATTCATTAAACATAAAAAAAAGTCTATTTAAAAAAAATCAATAAGATTACATCTATACATTAAGGATCAATAATATAATTTATTTGATACAAATAAAAGCAATTTTCTATAATTTTTAATTTTTTTATAAATTCTATATTTTACTTATTTTTGGCTATATATTCTATAATTTTTGAACCAAATAAAACTTCAACAAATCATAACAATACTCTAAGTAATCAATTTTAGTTTGCAAATTTTAAGAGATTTGGTATGGACTTTTTGTTTTTGTTTTTGTTTTTGTTTTTTGGTTCTAGTATCCAACTTGTTTGTTCCAATTAATTTTTTTTTTCATAAATCATTATAGTGGACTCAACTAATCTAAAAAAATATATAAAACATATGTAATTAAAAAACTATTTTTTTTCCAGGGTGGTCTCAGCCCCTCCTCCCTCCGCCACTGCCAGAGAAAGAGAGTGAAGAGTGAGAAGATGAATGTAAAATTTAATATGAATGTTATTAAGAGAGATATTGGTGGCTGTTGATTGAGTTTATTTGAAACCGTCGTATGGATTTGTTGAACCCGTCCTATTTTATATTATAAAATTCATAAAATATAATAGAATTAACTTAAAAAATATTAATTTATATACATGTAATCAAAATCGAATATTAATTTATATAAATATAATCAAAATTGAGTCAAATTTAATATAAACTAAATATCTTATTTATCAAAAAGCATATCACCAAAATATTTTTTATCAAAAAAAGTATATTATTTATAAAATATTATTTTTTTAATTAGTACAAGTTATTAGAAAATTATTAATTTGTAAGAATATATTATAATTGAGTTTTCTTAAGAGATAAAAAAAAATAGTTTTGAACTTTTGATTCAAGACATGTGTAAATGTTAGTTTGAGATCGTTAATTAAATAAATAAAATAAAATAAATTTTATTCAATATAAATGTGTTAAGTAGCGCCCTTATTTTTTTTAATCTGTTAAATTGATGAGTTTTTTTAATCAAAATATTATTATTATTGCTTATAAAAATTTAAAATTTTATATTACACAGTTTATATTAATGACAAATTTGAACCATTTAATTATTATGTTAAAGAAAATCTTGTGATCCAAGTCAGTCGTAATCTTTGATTGGTTGGGAAGGAATATATTAAGGAAAATATTTTAATTTCTTAACCGTTGGATGAATAAATTTGAGATCGTAAGATGTGTTCCAAGATCAGCCGTAATCGTTGACTTATTGGGGGGGAAATATTAAGAAAAAAATGATAATTTTTTGACCGTTGGATGAATGAATTTGATACCGTAAGATTGACTTATTGAAGCCGCCTTATTTTTATATTATAGATAGGACATAAATTGTTGAGTTACATAGAAAAAAAAGTTGATCATATAAAAAAAGTTACATAAAAAAGCTGTATAAAAAAATTTGTTTTATGAATTATTAAAAAAGAATTTTTTATTTGTTTAAAATTGATCATATTTTAAGAAGTTGTCATTGTTAAGACAACATTTTTGCAAACTCTCATCATCTAATGGTTTTAATTTTTTTTAAACAAAATAAGAAAATCAAAAATATTTTCATATAATTTACATTGTTTAAATCTATTTTCAATGAAAAAAATAGCTTAATCTACTATATATGCAAAATAATCAATTTTAAAAAGATTCTTCAGGTGCTTGTGTTGTTTCCTCCTTAATCTTTATTATTCTCATACTCAAGTCTAAAAATTTTGATGGAACAAATGCAACAATTCACTTTATTATAATGTACAACAACAATAGAACAGTAGCTCTTGATAAATAAAAAATTTTATTCAGCCCTTTTTTGGTTTCCCTAATGGTATACTAATTTTAACCTTCAAAATAAGTAATAAACTAAATTAGAATAAAAAAATCAATAAAAATTAAAAATTAATAAAGCACTTAAAAAATTTAATACTTTTTCGAATGACAACTGTTAGCAAGAAAATAAATTTATGTATGTGTACGTTATGGATTGTAATTTTATTTGTGTGGGATGTAGAGAGAGAAAGAGGGAGAGAGAGGGGAATGAGGGGGGGGGGATGACTTGTTGACTTTTGAGTGACGGTGATTGTTGAAAAAGTTTTTTACAAGGACTACACTGCTTATTAGAAAATTTTAGTGGTCGATTCTTTTTTGTGAATTTATTTGATGGTATATCCATTA